GGGGAGGGGGAGGGGAGGGAGGAGGGGGCGGGGGAGAGCGGCAAGCTGCTGCTGGAGCTGCTGATGCTGCTGCTGCTGCTGCTGCTGCCTGCGGCGAGCAGCTCGCTGCTGCTGCAGCGCCAGCTGAAGGCCCCCGCGCGCAGCAGCAAAGCGCTCAGAGGCCCCCAACCCAAAGAGTCACTCGAACTCAGAGTTACAAACAACATGTAAATCAGCAGCAGCAAATAACGATTCAGCCCGTACGGCGTCGGCTGCGCAGACGCCGGGTGACCAAACGCCGGCAAAAACGAACCCATCCTGCTGCTGCTGCTGCGCTGCTGCTGCGCTGCTGCTGCTGCGCTGCTGCGCTGCTGCGCTGCTGCTGCGGCGGCAGAAGCGAAGGCTGCGGACTCGTGGAGCTCTTGCTGCTGCTGGGCTGCTGCAGCGGCGGCTGCTGCCTCCTGCTGCGGCGGCTCTTGGGACGCCCCTGGCTCCCTTGCTGCTGCTCAGGCTCCTCCTTCTCCCGCTGCCGCTGCTGCTGCTGCTGCTGCTCGGGTCACTCGTGGTGTCCCTGTTGTTGCGGGGATTAAGGCTTCTGCTGCTGCTGCTGCTGCTGCTGCTGCTGCTGCTGCTGCTGCTGTTGCTGCTGGGGTCACTGGTGGTGCTCTTCCTGCAGCCGGGGCTCGTGCTGCTGGGGTTCCTGCTGCTGGGGCTCCTGCTGCTGGGGTTTACGCTGCTGCTGCTTCTGCTGCATTCGCTTGCTCTGAGAGGCACAGCAGCAAGTGGGGCAGCTGAGGGAAGCTGCTGCTGCGCGCAGCAAAACGTGAGCAGCAGGCGCCCAGTGCAGCAAGCAGCAGCGAGCCCCCAAGCCCACCCCGCCCGCCCAGCCCCAACCCTAAACCCTAAACCCTAAACCCTAGACCCTAGGCCGTAGGCCCCAGGCCCCAGGCCCTGGGTCCAGGGCCTAGGGTTTAGGGCCCACGGCGCCTGGGAGGAACCAGCGGGCGCGGCTCTGATATCGGGGGCTTCGAGCAGCAGCAGCAGCAGCAGCAGCAGCAGCAGCAAAGAGAGGAAGCTGCGGCAGATCTGGCTAGCTGTGGGAACTGCTGAGGGCAGTCTGGGGTTCAATGTTTAGGGCCTAGGGCTTCGGCATATGCATGCAAGCTTAGCGGCAAATGAGGATCTAGAAAGCCCCAAGAAGCAAACTTGACATAAATAAATTAATTGAGTTTAAATAAATAAAAAAGAAAGGAAAAAGGAGGGAAAAAAGACCGCTGGATCAAAGCCGACACCAGTGGACTGCAGCCGTCGCCCGTGCGGCTGGGAGCTTCCGGGGGTGCCTGGGAAGCCAAAAAGGTAATATAAATGCAAATTAAACCATAAATAAGAGTTTTTAATTGTTTAATGTGTTAAATTAAATGTTTTGGGCCTTCAGCAACGAAAAATGGCTGCAACCGACAGCACGCCCGATCCAGGCGATCCCGCGCGCTGCTGCTGCTGCTGCTGGCGTTCCTTCTCCCCCGTTTTCACTCTTTTTATTTATTTCGAAAATACAATTTTATTTATTTTATTTATTTTCTTTTAATTGCCTCTTTTGCGCTTCCCTGCGCTGCTCCCCGTGGGCCAGAAAGCTGCAGCCACGGCGCCGACGGAAGCTGGCCCTCGGGCTAGCGGCACAATCGCCCGCCGCTAAACCCCAAACCCCAAACCCCAAACCCTAAACCCTAAACCCTAAACCCTAAACCCTAAACCCTTGCAACTTAACTTCAAGCCAAACTTGCTGCTGACCTGCACCAAGGGCCCACAGCTAGCTGATCTATGAACACCCAGGCGCCCCTCTCAGGAGGGCTCTACACATCCAGAGGCACCCTCTGCAGCAGCAGCTAGCTGGGGCTAGCGGCTCCAGCTAGCTGTGACTAGCTGTGGCAAGCTGCAGCTGCCTGTGGCTAGCTGTGACTAGCTGTGGTTAGCCGTGGCTAGCTATGGCTAGCTGTGGCTAGCTGTGGCTAGCTGTGGCTAGCTGTGGCTAGCTGTGGTTAGCCGTGGCTAGCTGTGGCTAGCTGTGGCTAGCTGTGGCTGGCTTTGGCTAGCTGTGGCTAGCTGTGGCTGGCTTTGGCTAGCTGTGGCTAGCTGTGGCTAGCTGTGGCTAGCTGCGGTGAGCTGGAGCTCCTACCCGCAAGCAGCTAAGGCCCTGCTGCAGCTAGCCGCAGCTAGCCACAAACACTGGCCTCAAGCCGCAGCAGCTAGCTAGTGCAGATAGCGACAGCTAGCCACGGCTAGCCACAGCCGGCTGCAGCTAGCCACATCTAGCCACAGCTAGCCACAGCTAGCCACAGCTAGCCACTGAGCCTGAAGATGTCCCTTTGGGGGGCTGGCCAGTTTGGCTGCAGAAGGCAAGTCCCACAAGAAGCAGCAGCAGAGGCGTTTCTGCAGCAGCAGAAGCTGAATTAAAAGAATAAATAAAGTTTTTGTTTTTAGATTTCAAACTTTTAAATAAATAAAGGGAGAAAGAAGGTTTGTTGCTGCTGCAGCCCCTCTCAGGAAGAGGCCCTGTTGTGTGAGCCAGCAGCAGCAGCAGCAAGAGCAGCAGCAGGAAAAACAGCAGCAGCAGCAGCAACAGCAGCGACAAAGGAGGAAACGGAAGCAGCAACTGCAGCAGCAACGGCGGCTACAGCAGCAGCGGCACCAGCAGCAAACACGGCAGCAACGGCAACGTCAGCAATGGCAGCAGCAACAGCAATATTAAAAGCAGCAGCAACATCAAAGTTAAGAGCAGCAGCAACATCAAAGTTAAGAGCAGCAGCAACATCAAAGTTAAGAGCAGCAGCGAAAATAAAAGCAGCAGCAGCAGCAGCAGCGGCAGCAGCACTTGCGAACGCGGAGTTGCAGAAATAACCTCTAAAATCCGAACAGCAACGACAGCCCTATTCACAGCAGCAGCTGCTGCAACAGCAGCAGCAGATGCAATAGCAGCAACAGATGCAACAGCAGCAGCAGATGCAATAGCAGCAACAGATGCAACAGCAGCAGCAGGACCCACAGCAGCAGCAGCTGCGGCCTCCAGTGAGCTATGGAGGGGTTGCTTGTTGCAGTGTGCGGGCTTGTCGCCTCCCTAGAGCTTGCTGCTGCTTCTGCTGCTGCTGCTGCTGCTGCTGCTGCTTCTGCTGCTGCACTGTCACTGTCTCACTCGTATGGGCCTCGGCTTTAAAGGCATGCTGCTGCCTCTTTTCCCTGCACTCTGCTGTTGCAGGAACTATCTCAGCCCTTCAACTTGCACTGCTGCTGCTGCTGCTGCTGCAGCTGCAGCTGCAGCTGCAGCTACCGCTGCAGTGCCCGCTGCTGCGTCTGCTGGTGCTGCTGTGTCTCTCTGCTTCTGTCCTGCTGCTGCTTCCTTCTCTGCTGCGCAGAACTGTACGTACACCCGAAGTCGCTGGTGCTGTGTCTGGGAACATGGGCTCCCGCTGCAGCGGATGAATAATTCTTTTAGAAAAGTAAAATGTGTTTTTAATTATTTAAAAAGTTTATTTAAACTGCCCGAAGGCCATTTTCAAGCCCCCAGCGGCGCCCGGCTGTCGGCCGTCCCCACCCCTCCTCCCTGCCGGGCGGCGCTGCTGCTGCGCCTCACTAAGTGGATCAACTATACTTAATTGAATTTGGATTTGTTTTTAATTATTAATATTTTCTAAAACTCAAAAAATCAAGAAAAGGGGGTTCCGGGCGCCGGGTTGGGGCCTCCGCAGCAGCTCAGCTACACCGCAGCAGCAGCAGCGGCAGCAGCAGCAGATGCATGTGGTGTACGTACACCGGAAGTCGCTGCTTGAACTTGTTTTTCGTTGCGCTCTTTCCCATTTATATCTTTTCTAGCGAACTTTGCTGTTTAGTCTGCAGCCACACGCACAGCGGCGCCACTTAGGGGCTCTGCCTCCTCGACCGGCCGCGGCAGGAAGCTACCGTTGCTGCTGCTGCTGCTGCAGTTGCTGCTGCTGCTGCTGGCGGCGCACCTTCCTCTTGAGTATGGCGGGGTCGACAAGCCCTGGGGTATCCCAGGGCTCAGTAGCTGCGGCTTCGGAGCCGGGAGCAGCAGCAGCAAAGGGAGCAGCGGGAACAGCAGCAGACGACGGCGTTGCTGCAGTGTCTATCTTGCTGCAGGATGCTGCAGCAACTTTGCGCAGCGACCGGGAGAAGGCGATTGAGCTGTGTCAGCACGCGCTGAGTCTGGCAGCAGCAGCAGCAGGAGTGCCGGAGTCCGCAGCAGCAGGGGCCGGGGGTTCTGGGGCGGGGTCGGACGTGGCTGCTGCTGCTGCTGCTGCTGCTGCTGCTGCAGCAGCAGGGCCGGCGCGCAGCAGCAGCGCGGCGCTGCTGCAGCAAACGCCGTCGAGGGAAGAAGCGCTGCGGCTGTACGAACAGGGCCTTTGCTGGCTAGCTGGGGTGTACGCGGAGTCGGGAGACAGCAGCAAAGTGTGCAGTTTGCTGCAGTCTTCATTTGTGTTATTTGGGGATTTGCCGAAGGCCAAGACGGCGAAGTTGGTGCGTTTGTTCGTGGACCGCGTGGCTGCTGCTGCTGCTGCTGCTGCTGCTGCTGCTGCTGCTGCAGCGCGCCGCGCCGGTGCTGCAGCTGTTGCTGCTGCGCCGTTGCTACGGCTCCAGCTAGCTAGTGCTGCTGCGCTGTTGCTGCTACTGCGGCAACTGCTGCTGCTGCTGCTGCGACAACTGCTGCTGCTGCGCTGCTGCTGCTGCGACAACTGCTGCTGCTGCTGCGCTGCTGCTGCTGCAGGCGGGGATTCTGCATGCGCAGGACAACGACTACCGAACAGCATTTTCTTATTTCTACGAAGCCTTCGAAGCTTTCAGCGGACAAGAGGCAGCTCAAGAAAGCCACAAGAGGCACCAGCAGCAAACCAAGGCTGAGGAGAAGACAGTCGCAGCAGGTGGGCCATCTGCAGCAAAAATAAAAGACATTTATTTCCTTTTAAAGGCCTTTTGATGCTCCATAACGCGCTAAAAGCCCTTAGGATTGTTACTCTTTTGAAGCCCTTTCAAAGGCCTACACAATGAGTGTCGGGTGTGGGGTGTCCGGTGTCTGTACACCGGAAGTGGCTCAGGTGTCTGTCCGTACACCTGAAGTCCAGCTGAGGTGGTTGGGGTGTCTGTACACCTGAAGCCGTTCAGGTGTCTGTACAGCTCAAGCTTTTGGGGTGTCTGCACAGCTGAGGTGGTTGGGGTGTCTGGGCGGTTGGGGTGTCTGTACAGCCGAAGCTTTTGGGGTGTCTGTACAGCTGAAGCCTTTGGGTGTCTGCACAGCTTTGGCTTGTGGGGTGTCTGTACAGCCGAAGCCTTGGGGTGTCTGCACAGCTGTGGCTGTTGGGGTGTCTGTACAGCTTTGGCTGTTGGGGTGTCTGCACAGCTGTGGCTGTTGGGGTGTCTGTACAACTGAAGGTTTTGGGTGTCTGCACAGCTGTGGCTGTGGGGTGTCTGTACAGCTGAAGGTTTTAGGTGTCTGTACAGCTGTGACTGGGGTGTCTGTACAGCTGAAGGTTTTAGGTGTCTGTACAACTGTGGCTGTGGGGTGTCTGCACAGCTTTGGCTTACGGGGTGTCTGTACAGCTGTGGCTGGGGTGTCTGTACAGCTGAAGGTTCCGGGTGTCGGTACAGCTGCGACTGGGGTGTCTGTACAGCTGAAGGTTTCGGGTGTCTGTACAGCTGTGGCTGGGGTGTCTGTACAGCTGTGGCTGTGGGGTGTCTGTACAGCTTTGGCTTACGGGGTGTCTGTACAGCTGCGACTGGGGTGTCTGTACAGCTGAAGGTTTTGGGTGTCTGCACAGCTGTGGCTGGGGTGTCTGTACAGCTGTGGCTGTGGGGTGTCTGTACAGCTTTGGCTTACGGGGTGTCTGTACAGCTGCGACTGGGGTGTCTGTAGAGCTGAAGGTTTCGGGTGTCTGTACAGCTGTGGCTGTGGGGTGTCTGTACAGGGGAGAAGCGCGCGTTGGCGGTGCGTTCGTTGAGTTACATGTTGCTGACGAAGATTCTGATGGGGCGTCCTGAAGACGTGCCGAGTTTGTTGTCGACGCGGCAGAGTTTGCGTTACTACTCGCCGGGGGGTGTGGGGTTGGGATCGGGATCGGGATCGGGATCGGGGGAGGCGCGGCTGGAGGCGCTGCGGCTGCTGGCGGTGTGCCACCGCGAGCAGTCGCTGAAGATGTTTCGCGCGCTGCTGCAGCAGCAGCAGGGGCTGCTGCTGCTGCGCGGCGACCGCTTCCTGCAGCAGCACACGGAGGCCCTCTACGAGCGCCTCCTCGAGGCCGACCTCCAAAAGACCCTCCGCGCCTTCTCCCGCGTCGAACTCCCCCACCTCGCCCAGCTGCTGCACCTCCCGCTGCAGCGCCTCGAGCGCACTCTTTGCCGCCTCATGCTCGACGGCCGGCTGCACGCCACGCTTGACCAGGAGGCCAACGTGCTGCTGCTCTTTGCGCCTCCGCAGCCGCCGCGGCTTCACCAAAACGTCCTCGCCACCGTCGCCAACATGGCCGCCGTCGTCGACGCGCTCTACGACAAGGCCCAGCAGACCCTCTAGCCAGCTAGCTAGCTAGCTAGCTGGCGCCCTCGCGGGCTGGCTAGCTAGCTGGCTAGCTAGCTGGCTGGTTAGGTAGCTAGCTGGCTAGCTAGCTGGCTAGCTGGCTAGCTAGCTAGCTAGCTGGCTAGCTAGCTGGCGGGCTGGCGGCGAGCTCGGAGGGGAACGGGGGGCTGGGCTGTGCGGTGGGGGTGGGCAGCGAGCTGGGCGGGGAGCAGCTAGCTGGGCAGCTGGCTGGGGGGCTGCGTCGGTAGCTAGCTGGCCGGGGGATGAGTAGCTGGCTGGGTGTGGAACAGCTAGCGACGCAGCTTGCTGGGTGTTGAACAGCCAGCAAAGCAGCTAGCTGGGTGTTGAGCAGCTAGCTGCCAGAATTGCGGGCTCTGGGAAGAGCTAGCTGCTGGAGAACAACAGGAGCTTGCTAGGGGCTTAGCGAGCTGCGGCAGAGCTGGCTAGCTGCCCACATAGCTGCAGGAGAGCCAGCCAGCTAGCTAGCCAGCGAGCTAGCTAGCTAGCTAGCTAGCTGGGGGGATGGGGAGCGGAGTGGCTGGTGAGATGGCTAGTTAGTTCGCTGCCTGGCCAACGAGCTGGCTAGCGAGCCAATTATCCAATTTCCGAAATGAAAGGTGAACAGCTGCTGGCTAGCTAGCTACCTAGCTAGCTAGCTAGCTAGCTGGGTGCTGACGGCGTCGCTGGTGTGCAGGGCAGCAGGCGCCAGCAGGAGAAGCAGATCGGGAGGGGCAGAAACAAGCAGCAGCAAAAGGAGAGGAGCCAGGGGCGCAGCAGCTGACAAACTAAGCAGCAGCAGCAGCAGCAGCAGCAGCAGCAGCAGCAGCAGCAGCAGCAGCAGCAGCAGCAAACGAAACAGAAACAAAAACAAAAAGAGACAAAGACAGAAAGACAGAGACAGAAAGACAAAAACAGAAAAGACAAAAGGACAGAAGCTGAAGACGTGGAGGCGCATAGAGGAAGTGGGCGCGAAGGAGGAAGTGGGGACTTAGGACTACAGATCCGAAATGAAAGGTGAACAGCTGCTGGCTAGCTAGCTACCTAGCTAGCTAGCTAGCTAGCTGGGTGCTGACGGCGTCGCTGGTGTGCAGGGCAGCAGGCGCCAGCAGGAGAAGCAGATCGGGAGGGGCAGAAACAAGCAGCAGCAAAAGGAGAGGAGCCAGGGGCGCAGCAGCTGACAAACTAAGCAGCAGCAGCAGCAGCAGCAGCAGCAGCAGCAGCAGCAGCAGCAGCAGCAGCAGCAGCAAAGGCGAAGAGAAAAAAGAAGCAAACTGGACTAGATTTGAAGGGGTCGGAGGAACTGGAGAAAAAAGTTTGTTGTTGGCAGCAGCGCAGCTGCAGGCTTCTTTGGTGGATTAGTGACCGACTGATTTTGAGGTGTACGTACACCGTACGCCCTTGTGAAGTTGTTAAGCGACAGCAGCGATTTAAACCCCCTAGGCCTCAGCCCCAAACCCTAGTATAGTGTTTGCTTCTTCCCCTCGCCTCCTGCTGTTGCTGCTGTTGCTGCTGCTGCTGCTGCTACTGCTGCTGCTGCCGAAAAGCCAATTTGTCTTAGTCTGCCTTGAAACAAAGAACTGCCCAAATCTAAACCCCACAGCGCAGTCAGAGGGGCCCTCGGCCCGAGCCTTGGGCCCTTGTTTACCATTTAGGGTTTAGGGTTTAGGATTTAGGGTTTAGGGTTTGGGTGTGGGGAGCCATTCTCTCGAAGGTTAAAAGGAGGATACCCGTTGGGGTGTTTCGGGTTCAGAGGTACGCGCGTTTTGGGGTCTAGGGTTTGGGGTTAGGGTTTAGGGTTTAGGGCTACTGGCTACTAAAACCTGAACCACTGCAGCAGCTCCTGCATTCATGCAGGGGCCGAGATGCTTGGGCACTTGCTGCTGCTGCTGCACTGCAGCAGAACAGCTGCTGTGGCTGTGGGGCAGCCAATAAGGGCTTTTTCTGCTTGGGGGGCCTTTTGCTGTTTCAGCTTTAGCACGCTAAAAAGCAAAAGAATCTGAAGTCCCTCATAAAGCCTTTCAGCAGCAAGCACTGCAGCAGCAAGCAGTGCAGCAGCAAGCAGTGCAGCAGCAGCAAAACAAGAAAAAGCCCTCAGCAAGCAGTGCAGCAGCAGCAAAACCCCTCTAATGCCTCTGTGCAGCTCCCAGCTGAAGCCAAAGAAACTCTTAAAGCCCCAGGGGCCCTCTTCCCAGGCGGGCCCAGCTAGCCCTGGCCTCTTTTTGGTGTAGAGTTTGTACCCCCTTGGGGCCCCCAGGGGCCCCTTGGGGCCCCCGGGGGCCCCTTGGGGCCCCTGGGGGGACCTTTAAGGCCCCTTGAGACCCCTACAAAGGCCCCTGTAGCTCTCTGGGGTCCTCCGGGGTGACCAGTGGACCTCCAGCTGCTGCACTGGCTCTGCAGCACCTGAGCGGGGGCCCAGGCGGGGCCCCCTCCCCAGGCCCCAGCCTTAGCTGCTGCTCTCTTTCAGCAGTTTGGGCTGCTGCACCCTTTCCCGCTGCAGCTAGGCTTACTGGGGGCCCCCAAAAGGCCCCAAAAGGCTGGCTCTGCCCAGCAAGACCCCTGGACTGCTGGGGCTACCGCTGCTGCTGCAGCTGCTGCAGCTGCTGCTGCTGCAGCGGCTACCGGTGCTGCTGCAGGGGCTGCCTGTGCTGCAGTGGCTGCTGCTGCTGCTGCTGCAGGGGCCCGCGAGGCGTTGGCGCGCCACTTCGGGCCAGCTGTTCGCACTGCTGCTGCTGCAGCTTGCAGCAGTGATCTAAACATATTACCAATTGCTTTTGAAATGCGAAAACTTAGGGACAGCACTTGACACAATAAGGCAATTCTCTTTCCTACCACTTCTTGCTTCCGTTGTTAAGTGCTGCTGGCATCTTTAGCTGCGAACTGCAGTTAAGACTGCCCTGCTGCGCTGCTCTGTGGCAAATCTGGCTTAGGTGCTGCACGTAGAAGTGTCCAGGGGCTCTGTGGGCCTCATATGATGGCCCAGAGGGACAGCTTTTGGCCCATTTGTGTGTAGCTGGCTGGTGGAAGTGCACAGAGGGGGGCTCCCCAATTGCGTGTCTTATTTGTCATTTTGCGCCGGAAAAGAGATACTTGATTCAGAAATAATCATAAGTTTTGCTGCGGCGAAACGGCAGGGGAAATTGCGGCGAAAAACGGGGCCGTACGCGGACAGAAGTGGACACCGGGGGTCTGGTGACTTTCTTTAGTGGAGCTCAGACAGGGATGGAAAGGTCCATTCGGCGTATTTTTAAACATATTTAAATTCGAAAAAGTAAAAGAGCGGCGTATTTGGCTGCTATTTGTGTGTGTCGTTTACCGCCTCGCAGCACCAACACCCCATGTGGCAGTGGACCAGTGGACCACTGGCCCCCGGCACCCGCAAAACAGAGCGCTGACGCCAGACCTTTTGGCCTAAATGTTGTTTTTTGGCAAAGGCCCTGCAGCTGAAGTCAATGCGAATGTTTAAATCGCAGCGCTGACGGCTAAGTCGTGGGAGTTTGTTTCGGGAGTTTCGGGGTTGGTAGCGTGTCTTGGGTACGTCTGGATTATTTGCAGCTTTGAATTCGTCGCGCGTCTCAAGTTTTATTTAATTTAAAAAGGACTAAACTTCCAAAGTGTAGTTGATATGCGAAGCCTTCCGCAGCCTGAGGGGACCCGCACCTCCCTGTTTCGGGTAAGTGCTGCGGAGTTGGCGGCCGCTTGCTCGCGCAACGCAGCAGCACACAGCAGCAGCAGCAGCAGCAGCAGCAGCAGCGTTCTCAGCAGCAGCAGCAGCGGCGGCTCAGCGGGCAGGGAGGACAGCGTGAGATGAAGGCCGCAGAGCATGAGGACCTTATCAGTAGGGGCTGGGGGCGTTGGGACCCCTGGGGCCCCAGCTGCGTGGGCTCCGCAAGGTTCCTCTCCGGGGCCCCCGGGCCCCCCCCCCGCCGCCCCCCCCGTGGGAGCGTCCCCGCAGGGTCTGGCGTCTGG